GCCGAATTGGCTCGTTCCTCCCACGGACAGGAAGTAATTCAGAACCGGAGCCCTCCCAATGCCCACCCTTGCGTTCGACAGCGAGCCGATCCTGAGCCTCGCGTCGCTCGTGTCCTGGATCACCATCTCAGTTCCCAGCCCCGGATTGGAGGGGTTGAGGCATTTGAAGTTCCTGTTCCTGAACTCCCAGATGCCCTGCCCGTCCCTGACCCTCAAGGTGTAGTTGCTGTCGCCGGAAGGTCTAATGATGTCTGCGCCCTGGACGGGCACGACGATGTCACCTGCCAAGTCGAGGCTCGCGGCGGAGAGCGCGCCGACGCCCGCCGCGCCGCTGATCGAGAGAGAGCCTCCCGTGATGGCGCCGGCCGCGTCGAGGCTGCCGCCGGTCAGAGCGCCGGTCGCCGAGAGGTCGGCGCAGGCTACCGTGCCCGTGGCGGTGACGCCGTCGCATGTGAGCTGGCCGCAGTCGATGTCGCCGCTGAGCGCCGTTGCGATTGCGGCGTCGGTGGCCGTGTCCTGCTCCGCCGCCGAGCGGTACGACAGCAGGGCGGTGCTGATCTGGCTGCTGGTGAACGTGTCCTGCACGGGCCCGGTTCGGTACGCCAGCAGCGCTCCCTGTATTGCCGCTTGGGTCTCTGTGTCTTGGGCTGCCGCCGTGCGGTAGGCTGTGAGTAGGGTGTCGACCCCTGCCGAGGTGTAGTAGTCCGCCAGGGCTGCTGCGATGGCGCTGGCCGTCTCCGCATCTTGCAGGGCCGCTGTACGGTAGGCCGTGAGCAGCGCGTCCACTTGCGCCGCGGTGTAATAGACCGCCAGGGCGGCTGCGATGGCGCTGGCCGTCTCCGTATCTTGTAGAGCCGCTGTGCGGTAGGCCGCGAGCAGGGCGTCCACTTGCGCCGCGGTGTAGTAGACCGCCAGGGCCGCCGCGAGCGCCGCTGATATTGCGGCGTCGGTGCCGGCGACGGAGTAGCAGTCTGCTGCGATGCTCAGGGTGTTGTCGGCGTTCACCAGACTCGCCGAAAGCGGCGGCGCCAGGTGCAGATTCCGTAGCAGCCCGCCGAAGAGAAGCTCGAAGGTGGTCTCTCCCGGCCAGGCCGGTGCATTGCCAACTCCTCCGCTAGAGGTCTGCAGGGCGGCAAGGTCGGCCAGGATTGCGTCGAGGCTCGCTTGCAGCGTGGTCTCGCTGGCCGACAGGGCCGGGTTGGTGGCGTAGCTCGCGAGGAGAAAGAAATTTTTTGGCATTCGGGGGTTGGTTCTGAATCGGGGGTTGGCTGGAGATTTAAAAGAAGCCGTCAATTTGCAGCCTGAAGCCTGGCAGCGCCCAGACGCGTGCGGATCTCCACACCCAGTCTGCATTTGTCCGAGCGCGCAAAATTAGGCGGGGTGTAAGGTTGATTGAACAAAATAAAAAACAATGAACAGAAAACAACTAACAGACGACAGCCAGAAAAAGGAAAGCCAAAACTAGAGTTTTAAGGAAGAAGGAGGAAAGGAAGCAAAGACACGCAAGAAAGAAAACGAAGAAAGAAAGGCCAACCGCAAGCACAGAGACAAGCAAAAACACAGAAGAAAATTCAACAGAAATACGCGAAGCGTGCAACAAGACAAGGGGAATCGTAACGAAACAAACGGAAGAGCAGAGGGTAATGGAGAAACCGCCCGAGCCACTACTATGAACAAGCAGAACACACAAACCGCAGCGAGACTCTTAGACATGAAACTTTTAAGCTCAGTCTGACCGGTAACCTGGGCATAAGGGTCCAACTTGTCCGTTAATCAGGTTGCTGGAGCTTTGGTTTTTCGCAAACTGGAGGCAGCCGTTGAGAACCCGCGGCTGCACAACGACTGGCAGGCGGAAGCTTGTTTTAAGACCTTTCTTGTGCAATTTGTGGGAAACATTGATAACTGGAAGGATAACTTCTGAGGGCGGGGCAAATCTAATCACGCAAGACTCACTACATTTAGCGTTGTTGAAGAGTCGACGGCCGTTGTTTACTTGCCCCAAAGCTTTTTGGGAGGAGAGACCGCACGGGCAGTTCAGCTTCTTGACCCCCCCCCCTAACCGTGAAACGTACAATCAAAGGTGCCGCAGTTTTTCTCGCGAAGCAGCCGTCGCCGTCCAGTAGATCCAACTCAATCCACATCGACCGAGGGGTCAGGGATCTCTAGCTCTTCCTCCTCACCCCCCTCGCGAAACTCTTCAGGGTCTTTGCCGTCAACTGGCACAACTGCAATTGGGGCTTCAGCTGGCTGAGTCTCTTCTACCAAGTCAAGTTGGGTCTCCAACTCAGCTGGCTGTGTCTCAGCCAGCTGTGTCTCAGCAGGCTGGGTCTCAGCTGGCTGCTCAGTCTTGTCTTTCTTTTCCTCGCCATTTTTGCCTGGCAAGCCAATCAGGAATTTGACTCGTTGCGCGCTCTCTGCCTTCAAGCTCCCCGCGCATCGTACTAAGCAGCTTGCTTTTCAACTCGCCCTCAGAAACAAGAAAAGGCATCACATTCAAAAAAAAAGCGACAGAGGCTCCAGCCACCAGGTCCCGGACAAAATCCACGTCGTCACCTTTGACAAGGTGCTCCCTGGCAATGTCCTAAGCCAACAAAAGGACTGGCTTTCAAAGAAAGCACCCCCCACACTTAGGCCGCCACCGCTATCTCTTTGCAGCGCGCGGCATCGTAAAGCTTGCCTCCAACCTGACAGAAAGTCTCCCCAATAAAAAAGCACTTTGCTTGAACCTTGCCTGGACCACCTCACGCCCGTTGAGCTTGATGCCCCACGTCTGGTTTGACTTGTACCAGTATGGCTGGCTCACCTTTCGCTCACCTGCCGCCCGCAATTTTTCACACAGCGCTTTGCCCAACTCAGACACGCCTTCCTCGCCGGTCACTGAAGAGGCTGGCTTCTTGTGTAGCTTCGGCTTTGGCAGCGGCTTTGGCTTCTCGCCTTTCAGATTGGCAGAAGCAGGCTTTGCGCTTGGTCGCTTCATAACCGTCTCTCCGTCGTCCTCAGCAACTTCGCCCTGAGCCTCTTCGCCCTCTTCCTGCTCCTGGTTGGCTGGCGGCTTCCCTGATGGCCGCTTCATGGGCTGGGTTGACTTTAACGCAGGCTTGCGCTTCTTCGGGGCGCCAGGAACCTCTGAACTCTTGTTGGGCGAAGCCGCCGGTAAAGAGGCCCCATCCTCGCTCAACGTGTCCACAGGCGGCAGCACGACCATTGCCAGGGGCCGAACCAGCTTCGAGCTAAGTGCCTAGCACGCGCGTCAGCTCAAACCTAACCCTCCAAACTGTTGAGCTGGCGCATTCGCACAACGTGGACAACATTCCAAACTGTGTACGCTCTTTCCATTTTTGAAGAAAAAACAAACCCTGGAACTGCCAGCACTCACTCGTCGTTGACACTCGCTGTACATCTGCCACTGGCTAGCCGCCAATGACACAATGCGCGCGCAAGGCTTCGCCTGACTCAACCCACCATGTTCTAAAAACTCCCAGTGATGTTCTAAAAAAAGCCAAATTAGATTTGTGAGGACTGCCAACCCCGTATGCGCTGTTGAAGTCAGACACTGAAGCCTTCAGAGCTTCGCCCATGTCTTTGGAGGCATTCGGACTTGGCAAGTCAAGTACACCTTGGGCTTCACGGGCACGAGCTTGGCACTTGCGCCGCCTGTTTGCAATTGAACCTAGCAGCCGGTCAAAGAAACGAATCACTTGCCTCCGTAAAACTCAAGGCTCAAGGTCTTGAAGGCCAACGCGACACTATCATTGACTGGTCTCTCCTAAAATGGAACTGGAAAGGGTCTCGTTTTTCTTTCGTCCTACAACCCTGCGCCATGTAAAAAGTAAGATGTTCCTTGCAACAAGACCGCAAACACATTGCTCTGGAGTTTGACTGCACCTTTCAAGGCTGGAGCCAACGCGCGCGACAGAATGTTGCGGCGTTGCTCAGCAACACGCTGGAAGGCCGGGATTTATGCCCGCTTGGGTTTCCCCGCAGACTTACAAGTAACATCAAGTAACCCTTCCATAGACACAGCGCTCAACTCGCGCGATAGACAAGATGACCAACATGTTCTTTCAACAAGCCGCTTTGCTGTTAAAAAAAAAAGGCTGGGCACAAAAACCAAGCTGCCAAGGAACCTCCCAGACCAAGGCTGCCCGTTTGTTGTCACGCTGTCGTGGGACACGGTTCAGCTGCCCGCAGAACACTGCCCCCAACGTGGCCGCTCGGTGCTTGCTGTGGTCGAAGTCTGCACTCATTGGGTTGGGCTCGAAAACATTTGTCTTTCCGTTGGGAGCTGGGCCCACATGGTAACGGTACTGCACCGGAACAGGTTCGCCATCCTGCTGAGCCTGGGCTACAAAAGGCTGAGGCGCAACCTACTGCCCTGTTGTGGAGCGGACCCGGTGCAAAAGCCATAATATGGGGGAAGATGATACATGTTTGGGGAAAGTACCTCAAGTGACTTTAAGTGCTTCGCACCACACCATGCCATGGGTTTCAAGCGCTTCGCGACACGCCACAGACAAAAACCACACCTGCGCAACTCTCACACCAAACAAATGTGAGACCCCGCAACACGAAGGAGCAAACTGCCGGCAGGGCGTGACACCACGCGCCAAGCAACAGACGGCTGCGTCTTTTGCTCCAGGCTGTGGTCTGCGACGTTCATCTCTGCGATCCCACGAGCAACAACGCATTGGTGAGCAAACTGGCACAACCCGTACAACTTCTTGTTTTCCGCCACCAAGTTCAAGTCCGAGTCCAATCGCCACGCAAGCCCTTTTGCCTCCTTCTCCCCAAGGCCTCGGGCCAGAAACACTGACGCTGGTTTTGGAAAGGGAAGAAAATTGAAACTGACCCAGCCCTGCAACACCAACACACAGGCAAGGCGCCAGCAACTGTGCGCTCTGAGTAAGATCCGGTGTTGAAGCCAAACAGCTCGGACGGAGGCACAACTATCTCTTCAGCAGAAGGATTGTGAAGCCAGATGTGGAAGGAGTTGCTGATGACTACACCCACCCTGCCTTTTGCACCGGGGCACACGCCCAACCTGTGTGGGGGTCGCTTGCTTTTAATTGGCACAACCGAAGCTTTACAGGAAAAACTAAGCACAACGTTGCAGCGCCAAGCGTCGTGGTCTCTTTGAAGTCAAGCTCCGAAACAAACTGCATGTCCACCTCGCGAGCGGCATCCACAGGCTGCGCACCTCCGTCGATGCTGAAATCACAGGTGCCACCAGCCCGCACTGCTTGCGGCGTTGTTGTTGCGGCGGGCGCGGTTGCTGCGGGCCACAACGCCTCCAACTCCGCACGGATCTTGTTCAACTCCTGGTGCTCCGGCGTGTCCGGGCTGAATTTGGAAGCCAAGGACTCCGGCCAAACAACAGCTCCACTCTGCCAGGCAAGCACAGACAAGTGCGGGTCGTCGCGCTCCTCGCGAGGCCTCTGCTTTGGCGGGCTGCTCTTGCTAGTGTCCCAATGCGCAAAAACTTTCTGGTGGACGAGCTGGGGGACATCCGACTGCTCGGGCCGAAGCACGCCAAAGTACTTCACCGCTGGCAAGCTGTCTTCGAGGATGCGGCCAGCAACGGCACGGGCGAACTCCGCGTGCCTGGCAAAGCTTACTGGCGCCAAAAACACACGAACATTGCCGCGCGCCTGTTGGGCATGACGTCAAAGACAACCACAACATCGCTGCCCTTCAGCGTCATGCCCTTGAGATAAGCCTTCAAGATCTCCTCGTGGCAGGCCACGCCTTTCCTTGCGAAGGCAATCAGGCAACCAACGAGTGAAAGAAGTTTGAAAAATGTTCTGCGTGGAAAAACGGTGAATCAAGTCGCTGTTCAGCTCTGGCAGACGCGGACAATTTGCCAGCATCAACATCGAACCCCTGCATGTCAGTCACCTTGATGAGGGGCAAATTGTTGATGATGCCAGACTGCAGCACTTCGCTGTCCTGCGCCCAGACATTATCCTTGAGCGTCTGCGAAGTCAGGGCCAAACATTGTTGGCTGAGACGCCGCTTGTCATGCTGGTGGTTGGGCTTGTTGAAGTGCAATGTCAAGCCGGTGGTGACATCAATGTCGCCCCCAGCCAGGTTGTCCTCTAGAAGCCGCCGGTGCTTCAACAAGGCGCTCTGAGTTGTCTGAGTCTGCGGCATTGGCAACTGCAAGTGCCCAACTGCAAAGTTAGACATCCCCAACGTGGTCGTCAGAACTGACAGCGCACCGTTGAGGTAGAGCGAGTTGGCCGGCCACACTGTGCAATCGCACATTGCCAAAATCAGCCTTGGCTGCAATGAGTTGAAATCCAGACAAGCAACACAGTCAGCCAATCAAAAACCTGAAGCGAGTACAAGAGCGAGAGCGAAAACTTGACGGGAGGTTGCCACAGAACACTTTGCCGTCGCCCTTTGAGAGCTGCGAGGTGAACTGCGCGAAGCGAGGTAGCACGAGTTGCAGCTTGTCCTCAGCAAAGGTTTCAAACCTGACATTGTCCTCCATCCATTGTTGCACGAAATCCTGCCCTTTCCTCAGCGCCCGACACACGAGAAGCAATTGGGGCCGCGCAAGTTAACTAGTTTGAGCTCGCCCCAACGCAAAAGACAAACATTGCCAATAAAACTAGCATCTTTTGCCTCTCCTTGACGTACCGCACGTCCAGCGCAGTCTCCACAGCCTGAGACTCCTTTGTGGGCGCGCGCTGCTTGAGAGTAGCCATGTCTTGAGACAGCTTTGCCTGCAGCTGCTCAAATGTTGCCTGGCGCACCTTCTGCGCCAGCACCTCCTCCTTCTCTGCGAGTTCGCGTTGGCTGCGATTGTCGTGCTCTTCAACCACACTCCTCTTCGTGAACCAAAGCCGCAATAATTTGCACGCAAACAAGGAAACAAGTCAACCACACGCGGTCCTGAGGAAACTCACTTGAGTAAGGTTGGCAGGGGGAACGGTGGTCTCCACCACGTGGAGGATCTCTGGGTCAAGGTACCCCAACAGAAACTGCTCTTGGATCGACGGCAACGCGGCCTGATAGTCTTTCTCAGGGATGCGCGACTGTAGTTGATCTATCAGCGTCAGAAAAGCGCCGCAGCAGGTGTGAAGGTTGAGGACATCCTTCAGCACCCAAGCCTTGCGCATGGTTGGTGGGAGCTTGTCCCAATCTCGGCACATCCTGTCAATCAGCAGCATCGCCTCAGCTTTTACCAATCACGCTGCAAAGGTTGTTGAGGAGGCGACAGCTACTTGTAACTAATCACGCCACGCGCGAGGAAAAAGGACAAGGAGCGCCGCCGTGTCGCTTGCTTATTTCCGCGGCGCGAGACGACACGCTTCGCCAAGCGAAAATACAAAGTGCCACAACAAGGACGAACCTGACTGCAGAAGGACCGCAACAAGAACGCACAAAGCTTCCACTGCAGTTCGACCTAGCCACTGCTGCGGCACACCTTGGCAACCTCAGACCTTGAGGTGACATTCTGCGTAGGGCAGGTGCAAAAAAAGACTTGCCACCTATCAAAGCACGGCCGAGCTCCGAAACAGAACTGTTGGAACTGGTCACAAACACTTCTTCAGCACGAGGCAATCGCAAGCTCCCGCAGCAAACAATGGGATCGCTTCGGCGAGCCTCAGACCTACATCTTGGGCCCAGCCAACAACCTTCTAGCCCCGCAGTAGCTTGGGCGGGAAAACTAAAACTTCACACGCGCAGCCCGGCGCGCGCAACAAAAAAAGTGAAACAATCCACCAAACGCCTCTGCCCAACGCCAAGCCACATCTACCTAGTACGAACGGCGTGTCTCGCGCGCAGCTCTATTTTGAAGGCGGGGTTTGTTTTTGGTCGGGCGTTGAATACGTTAAAACACAATTATAACGCTTTGGGCCGGGGGCCTAAGAAATAAAAGTGAGGATGCGCCCGGGTCGAGGAGATCTTTGCGAGCGCCTTGCAAAAAGAAGGGACGGCGCTGGCGACGCGCGGCCATTGATGTAACTGCCTTCGCCGGCGGAGCGCAACCGTGCTACTGGGCGACGCGCAGGCAGCGATTTTTACTTTGGCTTGGCGCGGTTGCGAGTTACGCGTTCGCAGAGTGACTTTTTTTCTCCTTGTCAAGTGGTTTCGGGTGAGAAAAAGTCACTTCGCTTGTTGGCCCAAGCCTTTGTTTGCGGGTTGGGCTGGGGCTTTTGCTGTAGTGACTTTTTCTGTCTTGTTTGGGGTGGCTTTTGTGTGGAAAAAGTCACTTTGTTTTGGGCTTTGGCTTTTGTTGCTGCGATTGTGTCAATTTTATTAAGCAGTTTTTGTAGGTCACATGATGTAAAGACATGTGACCCGCAGGGAGTTGGCCAGACAGCAGGCCGCGAGCCGGCAACTCTCGGACACCCGGCGGAGCGGTCAAGGGGCACAGAGCTCCAATTTTTTGACGCTGAGGATGTTGCTGGTGACGTTGGTGATGCTGAGGATGCTGCTGGTGATGATGCTTCACTTTGCCTGCAACATTGTGCTATTTTGGCTGGCCAAATCCCAACGTGGGCTTGCTTGCGTTGGTAATCGTTTTGAAACCACCCCGCGCGCACAGCTCGCAGCTTAGGAGTAGTTGCGCAGTCAGCAGCGAACTGGTTCCAAAGCAAAGTCTGGGGTTAGGCCAGGAGTAACTTGTGCACTGGAACACAATTTTTCTATCAACAACTGGTCGCCCTGAACGAGTTGCCAACTTGTTGTCCTCCTTGTTGGACACGTACAACTGCCAGCTTTCATACGCGCCAACGCCGGACGAGAAGGCGGCGTTGAAGACATCCTTCGCCAGCACGTCGTGCGCCAAGAAGGCGCGCATTCCACGGGGCCGAATTACGGACTTCAAGCGCGAGACCACCGCCGGAGGAACCTTAGTCTGCAAGTTGCTGATCGCCGCTGACTCTGCCTTGCCAATGCTGAACGCGCGCGCCACAGCGCTGGCGTTCTCCCAGTCCTGCCAACGATGTGGCAGCGGGCAGCAATGAGAGAAGACTGGACTGACAAGCTTTGCCGCCATGCGTAGCTCCTGGAAGGATTCCCGATCACCAGCACGCTCAAGCACCTCGATCTGGCGCAAGAAGTTAAAAGCGTTGGGGGACCTGGTGGCTGTCGACGCCATAGTGATCCCTGCGAGCTCAAGTCACAGCACAGAAAACAAATCACAGGGTCGGGTTACCAACTGCGCTGTTGCATCAACACATCAACCGCCGTGCCTCGGTGAGCAAAAACTTGATCACGGACCGAGGAAAACTTGCCAACTGTGCTGTGGATGCTCCGCATGGATGCCTGCCCCGGAAAAAAAATACCCGTCAGCGAACAACGGAAAAACACAGACGACAAGCGTGAGGCAAACACCCGTCCTTGAACTGAGGGGTCAACTCGTCAAAATCAATGTGCAGCTCATGGATGCCAGCGCAAACGATCAAGGCTGATAGGCTCCGACGCCAGCCCTTGACATAGGCCACGGAAAAAGGAGGGATGAGATTGCCTGACATCAGCCCGTTGCAGAATCAACCCATGACAATTTCTTTCCATCTTCGAAAGCCCGGGCCGCCTGGCATCAACTGCGGGTACTCCTTGTACGGCTCCTCTAGGAAAGCCCGCTCAGGAGGGCAGATGGCCAGCTTCTCAACCCCCGGCAAGTCGCTGTCTGTGCGGAACCTCACCCCAACCAGTCTCAAAAAAAACTGCGCAAACTGCTCAGCTATTCAACTAGCAAGCTTGAAGCAGGCGACCCCTCCGACAAGATCAACTCCGCCAGCAATTCAATCTGGTCTGGCTCCGCAGAACCCGGCAGGCCAAAATCGGCTCGCCAAGCCAGCATCCAAGGGCGGAGGACGTGGGCGCCCACCTTGAGTGCCTTGCAGTAGTCGTGCCTTCGACGCGCAGAAAGAACAAGCATCGGCGCAACAAGGCGGGCCTTGGGTCAGGTGGGAAGCTTTGCTCCAGCCACATTCCAAATCGTAGGGCCGCATCCTGTCACACGGGCTGGCCAATTCAGCCCAGATTTATCAGCTCAAAAGACACTTGCCAAAAAGAAAGATGAGCCTTGTCCCCGTACGTCTTCTGCAAGAACTTATCTGGTCCGCCCATCGGGGCAACAGTTCCGCGCAACCTTACCCAGGGCAACTGCCGCCAAAGAAAAAAGAGAAACCTGCCAAGCGATCCCGACGCGACATGTTGCAACTTAGAAACCAGTCCACGATTTTCTTGACATGTTCCGGGCATTTGCCCTTCGCAGCCTTTGGGTTTGCGCCGCCCGTGCCGCCTGCTGACTTGCGCTTCGGCATTGGGACCCTCACAAAACTCTGTCTGAGAAAAACACGACTGCGGCCATTCAAAGCAGGACATTGGCAACAAGCAAATTTTCAGCGGCCAACTGTGAAAACGAACCCTCGCTAGCTGCCTTTTGGAGTTTCTGATGGCTGATTCATGTTCACACAATCTGGACAAAGCAGGCCAACGGACTAGCGCCGCACTCGCGATCACTCAAGCTCGTGACGCACGTCGTTGACGTCAGATGTGATGTTTGCAGCGCTGATGGATTGGTGGCGAGAGCCTGAGCAAACTTGCGAACACAATCCACACGGCACGCAACGTCATGGCCGTGTTTGTCTCAATTTGTTGCCAAGGAACGCCGCGCAGCCAACTCGGAGAGACCGCGAACGATGCTGACGTACTTGACGGTGGGGATGCGAACAGCTGGGATGCACAAAGCCTCGATGGCGAAGTCATAAGGGAGCGGAGCGTCGTCCACGCACAGCTCCGGATCCGGCGCAATTAAGATCATCACGCCCTCTGTTCTCCACGCAGCGGTTGCAAAGCAAACTGGTTCGTCGCTTTCAACAAGGCAAACATCAGGCCACACGGACGCGTTGCGGAAGGCAGCCCTCAGATTGGCTGCGGCAGAAGCCTGTCATGCCAAGCCGGAGTTGAGCCAAGCAACAAGTATTGGGATTTGGTGTCTTGGGCGCCCTTGACGCCGGTAGCGAACAAACACGCCTCGATGCCCAAGACCTGCACAGAACCTTGGAAGCCCAAGATCGCCTAGCAAGTTGAAGCCTATCACTATCTGACGGCAAGAGGCCCTCCTTCAGCTCTTGGAACTTGAGGCACATTGCATCTTTCCGCCGCAAGTACCCCTGGTCAAGAAGGTCCACCAAAGCCGAATTGGGGCAGATGTGGAAGCCTCCCTCAGTGTTGTAGCCCTCTGACGTCACACCTTCCACGCCTGGTAGGCGCAGCTCTTCATTGAAAATAAAAAAGAAAAGCAAAGCTTCGACTTCCGTGACCATGCCATGTGTAGTTGCTATGGCTGAACTGTCACTGCTGCTGCGCCGGCTTGTCGTTGCGCGCCTGCCTGCAAAATGTGTTTTTCTGGTTTCGAGGCGGGCTTAGATTGGGGTGGGGGTTGGCTTCCTTGTTGGGCGCGTTTGCTGGCTGCGTGCAATTTACAAGCTGCTACGCCGCCACGTCTTGTCCTCTTGTTTGCGGGCAGCGCAGCTGGTTCTTGCGTGTTGTTGCGGCTAGACTTAGAGCTGAGACTGGCTGCGCCTGATTCCGCTGAAACCTTTACAGTCTTGCGCGCTTGCGACAGCGTGGCGCAGACCACAAATGTGTGACCCCGCTGCCTTCCAATTCGATAGGAGGGCTTGAACTCTGCAAAGTGTGGAGGCTGCTCATGGCGGACAAAAAGGGATCCCAACTTCAGCCTCTCTTGCTGCGCGTCAGGAAACATGAAGCACCACTTGTCTATATAAACTCTAACCAAAACATTCCTCTGATCTTTTGTGCTGATGGGAGTTCACCGATCCCTCGCACCCCCATTGTCAAAGTCCTTGAATCTGGTGGAAAAGTTGTCTGCAACACGTTGTTTCTGTTAGCCGTCATTTGCAAAAACTTGCCGCCTGCGAACAAGAAATCGTCACGCGGGGAAGCCAAAACCAAAACAACGCTGACGAGCAGGAACACACGCGTCCAACCAAAAAACATCAAGTCCAACAAGTCCGCCTCAAAGAAATTTGCATTCACTCTTCCAACGGCAGCAAAATTAGGTCACGTCACGCAGCCTAGCGCGAGCAAGCAAACGGTCTGCCTCACTAAGCTTGTCCGCCCGCGCGCGCCAGTCAACATCAGCTGCCAACCGCGCCGTTAGCTCGCGCCAAACAAATTTAGCACCTTTAGCTCGCGTCAATCAGCCCTAGCTCGCGCAGGTAGCTCTAGGTCGCGCTGTAGCTTTGGCCCACGCCCTCTGCCCCACAAACTGTAGCTCGCGCCAGCCAGTGTGTCAGTCAGATGCAGCTTGCGCCAATCAGCTTCTACCTTGCTCGAATCGCGCCAGTCAACTTTAGAGTCAGCTTGAGCTCGTGCCAGTCAGCCCCAGCTCGTGGCTTAGCTTGGGCCAAGTAGCTGGGAGCTTCCGCCAAAGTTTTCAGCCTTAGCTCGCGCCCAGTCCGCCTCAGCTGGCGCCAAACAACTCCAGCTCACGCCATTCAGTTTTAGCTGGCGCTCGCACCAGCCCTTTTCGGTCACAAAACCCCCTTCCGGCGCAACCCCCGTTTTGTGACCATTCCGAGGTCGGAACGGTCACAAAATCATAGTCTGGGCCAAAAAAACCCTTTTCTGGCTGGGGGGGGTCGGGGGGTCCCCCGGGACCCCGCCGGGATTTTGTGACCATTCCGAGGTCGGAACGGTCACAAAATCGTGGTCGGGATTTTAAGGGGTTTTGTGACCAAAACTCCCTTCCTTCCGCTGCCGCAGGCAAAAAAATTGACAGTTAAGGGTTTAGGGTTTAGGGTCTTAACTTCGAGCTCCCCGCGAAGAACAAGCAAGCCAGCGAAATTTAAGCAGCGAAAACTGTTGCTTGCGCGGGGCCCTTTGCGCAGGCAGCAAACCAAAAAAACTGCCTGCCTGCCAGTCAGCACGAGAAAAAAATGCTGCAGCCGAAGTCGCGTCAGTTTCTGGTCGGCTTTCGGCTTCGCAAGCCGCAGCGCCGACTGTTGCTTCCACGCGGGTGCTGCGAAGAAAAACAAATAAAAATAAGCAAGCGCGCGCGCGCTACCTGCACGCCCGCCAGCCCAAAAAGTTAATTGAAATTGCGCCAGCGCCTGGTCAGCTTTCGGCTTCGCAACTTCAACCTCTTTGGCTCAAAACATTGAGATTTGGGCAACCAAAAAGTCCACGCGGCTGCGCTAAAAAACGGCCAGCGAGCCAGAAACAACTCAAAATAAGCAAGTGTCCGTGCGCTGCCTGCCTGCCAGTCATCGCGAGAAAAATAGCTGCCGCAAAATCGGCTTTCGGCTTTGCAACGTTGTGGTTGGGTTTTCCAAGGTTGTTGCCTCGACTCGGCCAATTTGTGGAACAACAAGCCAGAAACAAAGCAGAACAAACTCAACACACAATGAGCAAGTGTGAGCGCGCTGCCTGCCAATCAGCAAAAAGCCAAGCAGTTGGCAACTTAGCTGCGTTAGCAAACTTCAAATTCTGTTTTGGCGCATCACCTGGCACGTCCACGCGCGTGCCCTTTAGGCAGCGCTTTAGGCTTTGGCTCAGCACGAGCGATGGCCCTCTGAGCTATGGGTAAGGCCTCTGACCACGGAACACCGTTGGCCCACGCTGTGGCCGCTGCCGATAAGCAAATCTTTCGGCGGGCCGCTTTGACATATTGGGCCGCCTCTTTCCTTGTGCTTTTCCCGCGAGCTATCCTTAGCTCAGGCTCTGCAAAAATGCGTTTTGCGACTGCGTTGCACAAGCGCGGCCAACATCGCTCAACGCAGTTCCCATTGGTGAAGTGGCTAGAACCCTAGCGTTACCTCTTGAACAGCTTTCAACGCAAAGAAATTTTCAACAAATCAAGCCAAAGATATCACTGCAAACACTGGCCAAACATTGGGCGATGAAAAGTTTTCAACAAATTAAATCCAGACCTGTTACAAAGTTGAAACTGTGTGCGTTTCTTTGCGGTTTAAACCAAGGGGCTTGTTGAGTTCAACATCTCGACACGCCTTGGTTATTAACATGGTTTTGCTTTCAACCATTCCCCCCGCTGCAAGTCTGCGCCTGCCACAGAGAAACACATCCTGTCGTGAATCCCGCAGCACGTCAGGCGACGGCGCGCAAACCGGCGTTCAAATAGTAGGCTGTCAGCTGCGCGCGCCTCTGCGGCGAGCGAGTCCAACCGCGTTGCGCGCAACACGGCTGCGCAACCGACTTTTCGGCGCCCGACCTCAGTAGGCGCGATGCAAAGCTTGGCGAGCGCCAGATGGACATCCGCGGCAAAGCGACTTCAGGATATTGACCTGGGCCGCAAAGGGGTTAACAAGAAGGACGCGCAAGTTGGCAGCCCGCTGTTGAGACAGAAAAAAGAAGCAAGCTGCAGCGACTTGCTCGGTGTTTTTCTTGAAGCGGCAGCCTGCGCAGCTTTCTGGCTCCTTGAAGAAGAGCGCGTCGCAAGCAAGAAGGAGAGGAAATTTGGCCACACGTCCTCGCTGCTCCGCTACCTGTCATCTGCGGCTCTCCTTTCCGTTCCGCGAGAATAATACTTCCGCGCAGGCAGCGCAGATTCGGGCCGTCCGCGCATGGTCTACCTTGCCGGCGTTGCGCTGACCTAGCGTCGCCAGTGCGGCAGATTGCAAAGACTCCCCAGCGTCGCCAGCACGCCCCTCAGCTCTCCCGTTCCAGCCGCTGTGGATCACTCTTAAAGCGAAACACGGCGAACGGCGCAACGCTAAACGCGCGCTGCGACCGCGTAGAAAACCTAAGCTCCGCAGAGGGAAGCTCAATGAGTCTCGGAGAAGACTGTCGCAATGGCAAAAGCCCACCACTTGCTCGCGTAGCATTTCTCTTACACTTGAAAGCAGACAAGAATCACACAGTCCCTGTTTTGCGTTTAAAGTTTGCGGCAAAACGGCCCCGGCCCAGGCCACGGCGCGACAGCACAGTGGGGTCTGGGTCAAAGCTGCGAACAACAGGGTTGTCAGGCTCACCCCGTCTGCACGCCCGCAGCTGACACCTCAAGGCCAGCAAGCGCGCTGCGGAAAACCTTGTCAAACAACTCTGTTGCGCTCCACACAACACGCGCGCAACGCCAAGTTGCGCAGATACCTCCAGCAGCGGGGCAAGCTCCAGAGTTCCATTCACCCAATTCTCCAAGTGGTCTGCCGCCCGCGTCTGCTTGTAACTCCGCAACAAGGGCAAGAAGCTGAGCACATGGTTCCTGTAGTTGTCTGCAATCGGGTTGTTCTCAGCCAGTCCTGACACTCTCTCTCTCCCTGTCTCTCTCTGTCTCTGTCTCTGTGTCTGTCTCTCTCTCTCTCTCTCCCTCTCTCCCTCTCTCCGTCTCCCTCAGATAGGCAACAGACGCTCCTGCCGGAAGACCAAAGGGAAGCCTTGCAGTTGCCACAGCGTGGGGGAAATGCACGTGGCAACTCTTGAACTCCTTGTCTGCCATGTACTGCTTTGTCCTTGAAAGGATTACGAGCCGGCTGCAAACCAAGTCCTTCACAAAAAAACAGACTCGTGCAAGCTAGGTGCCGGAGGATGACATCACGCGGGTGCGGCTGCAGACGCCAGTATTCATCAATGACATTTGCTGGCAAGACGCTCATGTTCTCACGTCGCTCAAAAAGAAAAACGTGAGGAGCTCCTGGCCCTGCTATGCCCTGCACTGCCACTGGCACTCCTTCTGACAAAAAGCCCTTCCTCAGTCTCAAACGCACTGGTAAAGCCTTCTCCCATTTGGAAAGCAGGGGAACGCGCATTTTACATGCCCTCAACACCTCGCGACTCAAAAGTTGCCGCTCAACCAAAAAGAAAAAACGGAGGGGAATAAAACCAGCGCCGCTGAGACCAGCAAGTGAAAAAGGCGCGCTGTAGCAATTAACGTGCCGGGCCACCTGACGCGGTTTACGCTAAAATCGGCTGTGGTGCGTCTGCGTGTGTTTGTGCGCACGCGCGTGCGTGTCTCTTTCTGCGCGCGTATGTCTGTATGTGTGTGTATGTATGTATGTGTTCGTGTTTGCGCGTGCGCGTGTGTGTTTGTGTGTGTGCAACGTAGCGACGCAACGTGGAAGGTAACGCGTGCGTGGCGCGCGCGCGCGTGTGCCTGTGTGTGCGTGTGTACGTGTGCGTGTGTGTGTGTGTGTGCGCGCGCGTAAATGCTGCGCAGACCTGCAGCCAAGCAGCCAGTCTCTGCACTGGTCCAGTTTGACAACCACACGCTCCTTTTCATGGGGGCGGTCCAGCTGGCGCGCCCAATCTTGTATGATGGTTTGGAAATCGTCAGGCGTGGCAGCGTGGCGGGCTTTGCGGGCTAGCCAGAGGGCTAAGGACCCGAAAGCCTGGTCTATATCCTCGTGAGAATGACCAGATCTCAACATGTTGAGACACCCGCTGTAAATGATGCCTTGCAGGGAGCAAGGGGCTGGCGCGGCAAACAATTGAAAACGCCAACCCGCATTTCACAACCCTGGCCGTGGCTTGTCAAGGAACTTAGCCACCGGACAACCGGGTTATTTTTGACCTCGCGGCAGGTGTTGTCACTTTGTATCTGCAGCTGGATTCTTGTGAGGTCCAGCTTCTTGCTCAAGAGATGCAGGCAATGGGATAGCAGCTCGATCATGGTGGTGCTGCTTTTTGGAACATTGGCCTCCGAGACACTGAAGAGGAGCATGTGGCCGTGCACTATAATGCCTGTGATGTGCGCGCGCGGGCGCTGCATTCCGCACAGATCCTTCGACCGAAATAACTCCCCAGCCCGTGGATAGCAAAACTTAGCTTGATCCATCCCGTCAATTATTAATGTCACCTGAAAAGGCGATCGTAGGCGCGATGATCCTCTCAGCGAGTAGTAGACAAGACGATCTTCATACTGTGATTTGAGGTGCGCAACGTAAAGACGCTGCTGCTCTGCGCGCGCACGAAGGTGCCCGCTCAGCTCACGCAGCATGGCCTTGTGCCGCACACACACACTGCACATGGAGTGCGAGCTTGTGCCCCTGAACTTCAAGTGGCTGAACTCCGCGTGCCAAACGTACCAGAAAGTGCTAAAAGCTACCTTGTCTTCAGGGTGGGTGGCAACCATTTGCTCGTAGTACTCTTTCATGCGCCCTGGGGGCAAGTGCCGCACCTCTAGGTGGCGGCGGTCGGGGTTGCGCCTCGCAGATTTCCAACACATGCGCACCTTTCGCGCGTGCGGCTGCGCCTTGATTTTCTCTACAACGCCCAGGGCTGCAGCGTAAGGGTCCTTCTCCTCCTCGGTGTGGGTAAGGCGGACCTCAACACCATCATCCCGGCAGTCCGGCAATGTTTTCAGCCACCGAATCGTAAACGCTTTGCAGGAAGGACATGACCCTGGCAGAAGCGCCCTCACCGTGCTCCGCCCTGGCATGGTGGGCACGCAAGTACCGCAAGTCTGCTGGGGGCACCACAGCCCCTGTCTTTACGGTCGCCAGCAACCGCTCAAAACGGCCGTTGCCTCACATCCAAAAAGCTGCCAAAATGCGTTGTAGACAAAGACACAACACAACTGTCTGGCATGCAAAAACCGTAAGAACCAGCGCTAAAAGAAAACCAGCGATACTCTGATGCAGAGTTGGACGCAAACACAGGGCTTGCCGCCAAGAGGCCAAGGCCATGCAAGCGTTTCCACGCGCGGGCGCAGACTTTGTGGCCCAAAAACTTCCAGGTTGCTTTGCCGCTGCCACGCTCCCTCCAAATGGTCCGGATGCGATCGAACGCCTGGCAGTGCTTCGACATCGCCCGCCAAAGTTGCAAGGCCAGTTCAGCAGCTGGCTAAAGGAAACCTTGCTGCAAGCAAGTGGCAACCACATCCTGATCCAGCTTGTGCAGCTCCGCCCACTCGTTGCGAAAAGCCTTCAGCTCTGCGAAGTCCGAACCATGGCTGAACAAGGCCATGCAGCCACCTTTGCACTGACCCTTCTTGCATGGTTTGCCGAGAAGCGCCCGCAAGCGCAGATTGTCGCACTGCAAGTTGGAGGGTTGGGCAACGGAGCGCGCTCGCTTGCGCTTCTTGCGCTTGCGCCCTGCCACGCCGCTGCAACTGTCGCTGAGAGACGTGACTGAAGGCAGCCTATCTTTGTCTCCATCGTCGCTTAACTCATCCACAGGGCAGAACATTCGGGCAGCAAGAGGCCAGCGCAAGACCGGCCCTGCTCTTTGCGTTTCCGCGCGAAGGGGAAATGATTCGCCATTGCGCAACTCAACTAGAACGTGAAGGAAGCGTTTCCTTGACACAGCTGAAACGACCAACAAACTCGTTGGGTTGAACAAGAAAAGGTGGCGCAACCAGAAACACAAAAATCACGAACGACTCGGCTCCAAGGAAGAGTGTCCAGTTTGGGTTGACTGTTGCTGCGGCGTCGGACACGTGGCGCAGTGACAAGTTAGCGGGCGCCTCGCACACGGAAAATTCACACCAAACACTTTTCAACTTGCTCTGAATACACGGTTCCTTGACTGCCGATGTACTTGGGCTACCTTCAGACCGCCTCTGAGAAGGCAAGGGCTTTCTCAAGCAATTTTGCGCGCGCTCACATCCGCCAGTTGAAACACAAATTTACCCTTGACATTAAACCTTGCACGTCTGGCGCAATCAAGCAGCACGACACAGAACCTCAAGACATGACGCAACTGGTCAGTGCAGAGCAATGATGTGGCTCAAGATGCTGGCGGCGCAGCACGCTTGCTGGGGCACCACCAAATTGCCCATCGAGTGAATTCGGCACTCGTCCTCTTCTGAGCGGGTCTTGGCCAACCAGAGGTGCTCTGGGATTGAATTCAACTTGTTCCAGGGGCTGTTTTTGATCCAGTGGTCAAGCTCGACAGGGTCCTGTCAGGAGTGGCGCAAGCAACAGGCTGACGCAACCAAAAAAAAGTCCTGAAACAGGGCATCGTCGCCAGGTCGGGCCGCCACCAGAAACGTGCGGGAGCGCCCAGCCTCAAAACAAGTACGCAAAACAACGGGAGCTTTGCGTTGTCTGGGCAGCTGGCTGGCAGACCCAAATTGGTCAGCTTGAGAGAAGTCCAGTGGAGGATGAGGCCGCGCTTCTGGGACTCCTGCGCACAAGGGCCGCAAGCACAAATCAACTTGCCGTCGAGCCTGAAGAATGAAGTTGAAGATGTCCCGACAACCATCAGACTTGCTCAGCAAAGCCGTCACATTCTCCATCACCGCCACGCGCCTTAGAAGCAAACAACAAGAGACAGGGGTGTGACAGGGGCAACTGTGGAGGTGATTAAGACCCTCACGCGCGCGGCAGCTTGTCCCACACGTCGAACACGCACTTGACAAGCGCTGAACGGCGGTCACGCATGCCTTCTTGATGGCCTGCTTGGCTCACACCCTGAGGGCGGGCGACAAACTGTTGCACAGACATTACTAAGCTGCCGGCCTGGCACGGAAAACCTGCAGTCAGGGCAACTGCCGTTCGAGCGCGCCAAGTGGGCACATAGCCCACCACGTCCTCACACAAGTGGCAGCAAGGCAGATTGCCTTCTGCCTGGCGGGCTGTCAACACTGCTCGGCAGTGTGGGTCACGCTCCACCTTGTCACGCAGTGAGTGTTTGCCGCTGGCTCATAAAGCTTGAGGGCCCAGCCATCTCTACTGGCTCAAGCCACCTGGGCCCCGCCGAAGCAAAAAAAGTAGGGGAACCAAACGAAAACGCAAGGGGTAACTGCAAGTCAAACCACCGCTCTCAGGGTTGTTTGGCTGTCTTTTCTGCTGCTTGCCCGGCTCAGTCGAACCTTTTGAAGCCTTGCGCCCTGTGTCAGGAAAGAAGGAGCGCCCGCAAGAAGAACACGCCTGCCCCTACATCTTTGTGGCTTGGCGCGGAAGGGGCGGCACGGGCGACGCCCCAAATCTTGGAACAAGGCAGCAGCTGAAACCTTCTTATCGCTCGATTAAAACGGTGGGCTTGTTGAAGCGCTGCTTTATTATTTCCAGCTATACAAGGTTTCTGTTCACGACAAGAGCGTTTTCATGAGTTTGTTGAAGTTTGCAGCTTCATCTCCTTTGTGTGGGGCTTCATCTCAGCTGGAACTTGGAAAAGGCCTCAAGCGAACTAGGGCCTGAGGCTGGCAACTAGATACTGTTGAAGCCGGCAACGCGCTTCACGATGTGTGACCAAACACATGGTTCTTGGCGCGCACGTTCTTCCCTGCGCCTTGTTCAGGAAAGTGCCTTTGCCTCTTTTCGGGTGGTTTTGGGGTAAGAAAAAGTCACTTCGCATGTTGGACCCAGTCTCTGTTTGCCTGTCGGGCTTGGGCTTTTGCCCCAATGACTTTTTCTGCCTTTCTTGGGACGGCTTTTGCGTGAAAAAAGTCACTAGGCCTTTGTTTGGCTGGTTTTCGCGCAGACAATCGGACACAGCCTCTTTGTTTCTGGTTTTCGCCTTTCCTGCTGCAATAACGCGGTCTACGCGAGAAACAGCAGCCTGCCTATTTGGGCGCCAAACTGACGCAGGCGCCGTTTTGAGCCCCCTTTTTTCCCGCTTGGTTTGGGGGGTGTTGCTGAATCCCAACGCGGCAGCGCTCGTGTTGGGAATCATTTTAGAACCACCCCTTCAGAAAATCAAAGCGTTCTTGGCGCCCGTTTTCACACAGGCTCCCAAGATACTGAGAGTGCGCACACAGAATGCCAGCGTAAACGTGGGGGTTCTTCAATGGTGAAGCAAAAGCCCTTTTTCCCTCAATCACACTGCTCAACAAATTGGTCCCTGAAAAAAACTGCAATTTCTTCAAAAAACTTGCGACGGGTGTTGTTGGAGAGCAAGCCGTGCGCTAGGTTTTCACTTGCAGCGCTTCGCTTGTGGTTCGTCGCCTCCGCTAAGAGGTCGCCCCTCCTCCAGACTATGGGCAATTCAGCGCTGAAAACAAACCACCGACCCTGCCTTCAAATCTGGCCCAGCTTTCTGCGCTTCGGGAAAGCCTTGAGGAGCTGGGACCCATTTGTTGCTTTCCCAGCGCCACCTTGGCAATTTGAGTCTGGGCGCACTTGTAGCAAATCTTGAGCTTGCGCGTAGCACCTAAGCCCGTGACACTGAACCTTGCCACCGGCACCACACATCAGCGCCAGGCGTGACCCTGCCCGCAGCAACACAATGGCAAACTAGCAACTTTCAAGCTTCAAAGCGCCCTGCCTCACTTGGTTGACCCCCACCGTCCGGACCATTTTCCAAGACTCCATGCGCAGTTTGGCGCAGAGTAAGGTTTGGGAAACATTAGGAAAAACGCCATGTGGCTGGCAGGGGCTGGGGGTTTCACGCGCTTTCCATAAGCTGCAATGTTGCGAAGGCAAGGTCAATCCAGCAAGCTGCGGTGCTTTCACGCAAATTTCCATGAGGCTAAGCCCGAGCTCCAGCCCCCCGATGCCCGTGAAGAGCGACACGCAAGGCAGCTTCTGGCACGTAGCTGCGGAAAGCTCCACAACAAGGTTTGAACCGTTGACAGCAAACCCTAAACTCATGCTAGCACTGACTGGTTTGTTGGAAACGCAATCAACGCTAATGAGACGCTGACAACTAACCTGGCGGCGCAGCCTGCACACCTCGGTCTGGGAACATGTTCTGCACAACGTCCTTGTCCACTGCCCCCGCATGCGGGCTCGACCAGCCCAGTGGGAGGCCTGCCACAAAAAACTGGGCGCTGGATAACAAGTGCCACAACCTGGCCTGAGAACCACTCAGCTGCCCCGACAGACAGATAGGCTCCAGGCTTTTCGCCACGAGCACGGATGGCCTGCTTGTAGGAAGTCGAGTTGGCAATCTGGTTTGCCAGATCCTAGCAAAACGCATCGCAAACAAGTACAGGAAATCAAACCAAGGCTCAGGCAGAGATCCCGCGTTTGCTTACACTGGAGCGCGTCACTGTGGTTGTCGCTGAAAAGCAACCTTGTTCAAGACAGATTTTGTCTGAAGTAGGCTTGCTGGGGCCCAAACGGATGGTGGACCAGGCTTTGAATCTCCGGCTGCCAGTAAACTTGTCCGCACCCTTCTTGTTTTTACCAGGCTTCTGCCTGCAAACCTGGGGCGGGGTTTGACAAATTGGCAACCTGAGCAACAGCAACATCGACTCAACAGGGCTGCAACAACAACAAGAACGCCAACAACGACACTGACATCTCTGAGTAAGGCAAGCACCACCTTCAGGTTCAAGGGCGGGGTCCGTTTTAGGGGCACCGTCACAGCGTGGATGGCCTTCCCAATGTAGCCGTGGTGCGGCAACTGCGAGCGGGAACAGACATGTAGAAAAACAAACATGCGAGTTGCCTTGGCGGTTTTCTCCATCACTGTCTTTGCCACTCCGAGGCTTCGGACAGTGATCAGCTTCGCCAAGACCGTCGGCGAGACAACCTGGCAGCAACGGTTAAGGGTTGAGCAGAGCATGGAAGAGAAAGGGCCTTCTTGCTTTGTGTCTTCGTCAGCTTCTTCTTCTTCTTCTTCGCGACTTTTTGCTTGCCCCCAATTTTTTTCATGAGTGTCGGGGCCCTTTGTTTCTTTGCGCCCTTTGACTTCAGCTTCGGCTCTGCGTCAGACTCTGCGTCAGACCTTGGCAAAAAAAGATGCGCAAACTTGAGCCAAGGGTTGCAAAGCAGGTCTGACCGAATGTTGTCCGCCAAGGCCCACGCAGCTCTGTCACTGCTGCCAAGGGCATGGGCAGAAAGAAAAGCAAGGCAGCGACAGTTCTGCCAATCTTGAGCCACTCAGGCCGGGCGCCGGGCCCTTCGAAAAAGGGCCGGGGCTTGCGAAACTCGAAAGTCAAACAACACAACAACAACGACAACAGAAGCAGAGCACAACGCCGCAACATAGTAGGTTCCAGACTGCAAGGAACTGAAAGCAGGGAAACACACCAAATGGAAAAAAGGAATTGAGAAACAGAGGCCGGGGAAGGGCCCTAAAGTACGAAGACCAGCAGGCAAGGAGCAACAGCAAAAAAATAATCGAAAAAAATAAAGACAAACAAAAGGCAAGGAACAAGGGAAGCCACGAGACGCAACTTGAAGAAGAACCGCAGAACGACACCAAGGAAGGTCGCCGCGCGACATCCTCCCACGCGACGGCTGTGGAAAAACCGAGTGGGGCGCCCGCAAAGACCCCGCCGCAAGGAGGAAACAACTTTCGCCGCGTCGCGTCACACGCGCGCACACACACCCGTGCGCAGGCACACAAACGCACACGCGCGTGACACTTTTGCACACAAACATTCGCCCCACACGCGCGCCACACACACACACGCCACACGCGCACGCGCGCGCACGCCCACACACGCCTAGACGCACACACACACACACACACACACACACACACACACGCACACGCACACGCACACACACACACACACACACACACACACACACACACACACACACACACGCACACGCACACGCACACACACACGCAGACAGACAGACAGGAGAAAGAGACAGACAGACAGACAGACAGACAGACAGACAGACAGACAGACAGACAGACAGACAGACAGACAGACAGACACACAGACACACAGACAGACAGACAGACAGACAGACAGACAGACAGACAGACAGACAGACAGACAGACAGACAGACAGACAGACAGACAGACAGACAGACAGACCGACACACACACAGAGACAGAGACAGAGACAGAGACAGATCAGAGACAGAGACAGAGACAGAAACAGAAACAGAGACAGAGACAGACAGACAAACAGAACAAACAACACACAGCACACACGCCACTCACACACGCGCGCGTGCGTACATACATGTATCCAGGCTCGTGTTGAAGCGACAAGCACAATGCCTTGGAGAAACGTGCGCTCGGTCGCAGCTCGGCGCGCGCTGACCGTCTATTTTTTGAAGAAGCCCCGTCGCTTCGCCGTCCAGGGTTTACCCTCCAGTCCTGTAGCGCTGTGTTCGGAATCTATCCGCGTAAGTCAAACTTCAAACAACTTATTACGCTGCTCGTGGATTGCGCAAAGCATCTGAAGATAGGGTCTTGCAGCGCGCTTGTCGGAACGCCCAGCCAACCCCCGATTCACCACCAACCCCCGAATGCCAAAAAATTTCTTTGGAGGCTCGCGTCGGCCTTGGAGGCTTGCAGGCTCGCGAGTGTGGCGTCTCGGACCGCGAGCTCCGCGTCCAAGAAGGCCACCGCGGCGTAGGGCAGCAGCGCATTGGCGATCTTTGTGTCTACCTCCAGGGAGCTGTCGGTGTCGGCCTGCAGCGCCGCCAGCGCCGCGTCCGTGGCCGCCAGCGAGCCCAGCGTGGCGAAGGCGCCGTCCGCCGCGGCCTGTGTGACGTACGGCAGCAGCGCCGCCGTGATCTTGGAGTCCACCTCCGCGGAGGTGTCGTGGTCGGCAGCGTCCGCCTTGCCCGACTGCAGCGCCGCCACGGCGGCGTCCCGCGGGGCCAGCTCCGCGGCCAGGGCGACTGCCGTGACGTAGGCCAGCAGCGCGTTGGCCACCTTGGTGTCCACCTCCAGCAGCGTGATCCGCGCCGCGATGTCAAGGGCGTGCTGGTCCACCACCGTCTTCAGGGCGTAGGTGCTGGCCACGCTGGCCAGGGTGGCGTTGTTGGCGGAGGCGATGGCGCCGTTCATCGCAGCAGTGGTGCTGTAGTTCGCGAGCTTGAGGTCCACGCTGTCCGGCGTGCTTTTGGTGGCCACCACGCCCTCGAGCACGTCGAAGGCGGTCTGGTCGCACTTGCCGGCCAGCCCGGTGGTGAGGCTTGACTGCAGGGCCGCCAGGGTGCTGCCGTGGGCCGCTACTTGACCGTCGGTGGTGGCCAGGGCCGCTGTGGTTGCGTATGGGACCAGGGCCGGCGCGAGGGCGCTGCTGTCCAGCTTGAGCGCCAGCTCGGCCGTGACCCTGTCGTCCAGGCTCTGCAGGCCCGAGGCGTTGGTGCCGATGGCCGCGGTGTTGGTGGCCAGCTCCGTGACCTGTGCATAGGGGGTGAGGGCCAGAGCCAGCTGCCCTGCGGTGACGAAGCTCCCTTCTGTGACCTGCCCGTGGTTCAGGATCTCCGGGATGTTTCCGGTGAGCGGCCCTTCGAACATATCTTGCTTTACACCTAGTCCTCGCCGACGCCGTTTGCCCAGTGGGTGAACGGCGTCGAGTTTGCTTCCCGGTTCTTGCCTCGCGGAGGCTCGCCTGCCGCGACCGGAGTTGAGTACCATATTGTGCGCGGTCTCAGCTCAGCGACCTGAGCGTGAATTACTTGCCCCTTCCCATTTGCGTTGAGGTTTCGCCGACGCCGTTTGCCCAGTGGGTGAACGAGTCGAGGACCACCTGGGAGGCCAGCACCCTGACGTTCTGGATCTCGAACGTCGCCGACAGGGTGCCGCTGGCCGGGTGGGCCGTGGCGTTGGCGGACCACAGGGCTGTCTCGGCGTCGGCGAACTCGATCTCCAGGACCAGGTTCAGCTGGGGCGGCAGCATCTTGCCGCAGCGCAGCAGGCCTACCATCGTGGGGCGCAGGAGCACGTCGATGTATTCCCCCTGGTGGATGGCCTTGGGCACCAGGCTCCCTCCTGCGTTCGGGATCTCGTCGAAGCCTTCCAAGGACTTGTTGGCGTTGTACTCGCGGCCCTTCAGCAGGTCGTGCACCGCCACGGTGCGCCCGTAGTAGTTGATGTCATCGCACCGCTGTCCGTTGGCGAAGACCTGAACCCGCTGGATGAAGCACGCGGGGTTCGAGGTGGCCGGCGCCAGCGGGTTGGTGCCGTCGGTGTTCACCACGCGGAAGGCGATTTTCAGGCTTTCCGGGTCGATGAAGGAGGTGCCGCTGGTGAGCGGGATGCGGCAGACCCTGGAGGTGGTCGGCGAGAAGGAGCTCAGGGAGCTGGGGAAATACTGCACGTCGTGGCGTGCGGTGACGTAGCTGGTGTTGCTCGTCTTGAGCTTGTAGTCCAGGCTCTGCATGAGCTCATCCTGCGCGCCCGCGGTGACTACCTCCATCTTTGTTGCGTTGCCTTTACCTGTACAGCGCGCGGCGCCTCGTCGTGCGAGCTATCGCGGGAGCTACGCGGCTTCAATGTCTCGGGCCAGCTGCTCGAAGCTGGGAGGCGGCAGTCCGGAGCCCCGAGAGCTGGAGCTGGCGCGGCTGCTTGCGGGGCTCTTCCGCTGCGGCATCACTGGGTTGATGCCCCAGGCGAAGGGCCTCGGCGTGTGGTTGCTTTGGGCCTGTACTCGGAAGCTGGATGCCGAAGAAGCGCGGCTGCTCGGCTGGCTGCTGCTGCTCTGGCTTTGAGCCTGGAAGCCGGGGTCGCTGTTGGAGACGACGCTGGAGGTCCTAGAGTGGGACGGCGTGCTGCCGGAACGCAGGCTGAAGTGCTGAGCTTGGGTAATGTCATTCATGCCATTGGCCGAGCGCACGTCCTGGACGGCCTCGTCCCCGCCACCCTGCTGCGGCCTGAAGATTGTGTTGTCCAGCACCCACTCCGTGCCCTTGACCAGGCCGTAGGCGGCGCCGCCCGCCAGCCCCACCGCCAGCCCTGCCGCTCCCGCCGCCCCGACTCCTGCGGCTCCGGCCAGCGTGGCGCCGACCTCGCCCGCCGTGGGGGCCAAAGCAGCCGCTCCCTCCGCCAGGCTTCCCAGGTAGCCGAAGGCCCCGCCCACGCCCTCGGCCGCTGCCGCGGCTTCGCCTTCTTCGGCGGCCACCGCTGCCGTCTCCTCTATGGCTTGGGCCGCGCCGCGTTCGACCTCTTGGGCCCTCTGCCCTGCTTCGTCCAGCAGGCGCTCCACATCCGAGGGGCGACCGATGATTTGGGGAGGAGGTTGCGGCTGTGGGCCGGGGCGCGGCATGACGTTCTGCCTGAAGTAGTCGGCCGCTTCCTGGGGCAGCTGGGAGCGGAAGGCCTGGACCGCCGCCAGGCCCGCGGCGCCTGCTCCAACCGCATCCGCCGCCGCCTGCGCGGTGTCGGCTCCGTAGCGCAAGCGGTCCTTCAGCAAGGGTGGCTGCTGGCCGCTGCCGCTCAGCGCGTCCGCTTGCGGGTCACCGGCAAGATCCGGCGGGTCGAAGCGGTCGCCGCCGTAACCGCGGTAGATGCGGTCCAGGCGCTCCTGCTCCGCCTCGTAGGGCGTCTGGTAGCCCGAGGCGTCGTCTTCAGGGATGGCCTGCAGCGGGGTGTGGGCCAGGGGCTGCGGCGTGGGGTCCTCGCTGGATTGAATGTAGTCGTCCAACCGGAAATGCGAAGTGATGAAAGTAGTGGCTGATCTGTCGGGCAAATCGATCGGTATCGGTTGCCCGCGCTCCAAATAGCCAACCACCTGCTCGAAGCTGGGTCTTTGGTTGAAGCCGTGCCGGCGCGCGGCCTTCATGCTTCTTTGCCTACTGCGCGGCGATCTCCTGCGCCGCCTGCTCGACGCCCCGGCGCTCGGCGCGCGAGTGCCGCAGCTGGGGCACCTGCCTGTGCACCGCCTCGGTGAGTCGGGCCACGTCGTCCAGGTGCCTCTGGCCGTCCTGGGCTTCCCTGCGCTGCGCAAGCCAGCCGTTAAACGCGCGGGCGTCCTCCAGCTCCTGGTAGCGCTTCATGAGCAACGGCAGCAGGTTATAGCTGGGGTAGGTCCTGTGCCACCGCAGCATCTGCGGCTCGTTGCGCGGCTCAATGCTCATCATCTTTCGCGGTGCTTTTTACACCAAGACGCTGGCCGCCTGAGTCAGTCGGTCGTAGGCCGACTGGCGCTCCAGCAGCTGCAGGGCGCGGCGCTGCTCGCGGGTCAGCTGCGGCTCCGGCGCGG